CAGGCTGCAGGGAAGCCCAGGGGTGGAGAGCCGTGGAGGGAGGGTCTTGGGCAGGCCACGCCCACAGGGCAGGGCGGGCCACCTGGAGCACCAACCCCCAAGAGCTTATTCATTGGAAAGTGGCCAGAAAGTGAGATGGGATCTTTGAAAGAAATTACTTTAATTTTACTTCTCTTATTTCATCTTTCTACATGGTTATTATTTTATGTTGTCATACAAATAGAAACAAGGTCACTGGAAAAACAAAAACTGGAAAACAGAGAAAAGGAAAAACACAGTAAAAATCACCAGGCAGCCCACCTCAGAGGGGGACGGCCATGACCACTGGGCCCTCTTTCCTTCCATACCCTTTCTCTGCAAATATGCTTATTGCGGTCACATTGACTTGTTTTATATTTTAAAAAAATTTTTTTGTTTCTTTGTTGCTTTGCCAACTGGTTCTGAGCAACCAGAACCATCTCGTGAATTGAGAACACAGCCATTGCCACATCCAGAGAACTAGGGGGCAGGGCCTTGGGCCAGGGGCAGAAGAGCTGGGTTCAAACTCACTTGCTAGCCATGTGATCGTAGGCAAGTCACTTCACAAGAGGAGCGAGGGGCTCTAACCACTTAGAAACAAGCCCCACTACTACTACTACTACTACTACTACTACTACTTCTTTTTTTTTTTTTTTTTTTTTTTTGGAGGAACACTAGCTGGAGATGTCAACTTTCCTATTTTGCCAAGTAAGGACATTAAAAAATATGTCAACCACAATCACCATCATTCTACATTTTCCCCCCAATGTTCATTTTAGAACAGAAACGTAAGAAGGATCTAATCCCAGAAGCAAGACTAGTTCTTTCCATACGCATCCCTTTTCGTCTTTATTTTTCTCCCTTTGTTCCTGGTTGTCTAGAGCTTTGTGGCTGACCATCCCTGGTCCTCAGGTTAACTCTGGGGGTTTAGATCTCGGTCTAACGTTTCCCTCTGTGTCTTTCCAATCCTGGATGAAGCAAAAACTTGCCTCCCACAATGAGCAAGGAGAGGCTTGCTGGGAGGTGGGGGCTCCAGTGTCCCTGTGTTCTTTCTCCGAGGCCCGAGGACGGGAGCTCATGACTCACCCTGCCCAGAACCCATCTCTGGAAAAGGCTTGGAGAATGGGGCCCCAGGGAGCTTGGGCACCGCTGCAACTTGGCTGGGGATCTCCAGTGGTCCGGGAAGGTTCTGTTTTCTTAACTTGGCTTCACTTGTGGATAATGAGGGCTGGGCAATACTGGGAAGGGTCTGCCCATCAGCGGGGAGCAGGGGAGAGCGGCCCGGGCAGCAGAGGGTGGTGGGGAAGCCTACGGACACGGCCCCGCCTGCTCCACTCAGAAGGCTTCTGTTTTCTCTCTGTCTGCTGCTCTACTTGGTGTATTTAAAAGTGAATTAGCTCAGTGTTTCTGTTCTTGTAAATAACGATCTTGCTTTCTGTAAACACGGATGCGTAGTGGTGTGGTGTGATGGGGTGTCTGATTTCCGGGCCCAGGCTGTGGGTGGCAGGACCTGTGAGAGTATCTCAGGTCTCCTGGAAGGTCGGGGCTGTGGAAGCTTGCACACTGTGTCTGCCTTGGGTCTGCCAATCCCCGGGTTCCTCTCTGTCGGTTTCCTCCCTTGTTTTGGTGGAGCATATCCTGCAGTAGCTTCCTGGTAAAGGTGCATGGAGGTAAATGCCTTCACGCCTTACATATCTGAGTGTCTTATTCTCCCCTCACTCTTCATAGAGGGAATTGAATTACAGGTTGGATGTAATTTTTTTTCCAATGCCAGAATTTGGAAAGCATCACTCTATTTTATTTTAGCTTCGCTGTTGTTGTTAAAAAGTTTCCTGATTCTTTTCGTGTGTGACCTTGTTCTCCACCCATGCCCCCCCGCCCCCCCGAGACTTGTATGTTCTTTGCTTCTGAGATTACCAACAATGTGAGTGAGTGTGGGTCCTTTTCCCCAGGTACTGGGCACACAGAGGACCCATTGGTGGGAACGGTCCTTCAGTTCACGGACATTTCTGTGAATTATTTCTTGGATAACTTCTCCCCTCTGCTTCCTCTGTTCTCTCGTTCTGGAGCGCTAATCTCCTGATGTCGCCCATGCTGGGTTGGTCCTTCACTTTTCATCGCTTCTCAGCTACCTGCCAGCTTCCTCTTTGGCTCTTCTTCCCGGGAACTTCCCTCAACTTGACCCCCAACTCTAATTTAGTTTCCCACTTCTGCCATCATGCTTTTGATTTCCAAGAGCTCAAGTTTATTCCTTTTTTCAATAGTATCCTCCCCTTTTCTCCTCGAGGCTGTGTTTTCTCCGATCGTACTTTTCCCCACCAGCCTATTTGGGCCTTGTCATTCCTGCCAGAGGCCTTCCCTGGAGAGCCTGTCATTGTCTGCTCATCATTAGAGTGCGGGGAGGGGGTGGTTGCTAAGAAGCTGTTTCAAAGCTCAAATCCTTGGGTGGGGTTTATGGACCGAGCTGTTCTGGAGGGTGGGCTGAAGGGGCCATTTCTTGAGGACACTCTGGAGAAGGCAGGAGTGAAGTCCTGGCGGCCAGTATCCTGGAGCCGAGTCGGGAAAGAGGGCTGGTGGAGTCTCAGACTTAAATATATTAAATATATTAATTTAACTTCCAGTTCTCAGTGGTGGTTGATGTCCCCAGTGCAGAGAACAGCCCTCCAATCTTCTGCAGGGGCTGGAGGGGGGCAATCACCCCACCATGTCGAGTAGGGGGAGGTCTAGAACCTCAGCTGCCTTTCAAGACTTTCGATCTGTCCTCCTGTTAGCCGACCTCCGTTTCCAGTGAGACCTGGTGCTTTCCGTTCCAGAGCCTTTGCAGTGGCTCTCAACCTTCCTCATGCTGCGACCCTTTAATACACAGCTCCCCATGGTGTGGTGGCCCCTGATTTCATTGTTACAAATTGAACATAATGAAAGCATAGTGATTCATCACAAAAACAATATGTAATTATATATGTGTTTTCCGATGGTCTAGGCGACCCCTGTGAAAGTGTCGTTCGACCCCCAAAGGGGTCGCGACCCACAGGTTGAGAACCGCAGCTTTAGAGGGTTCTGGGATGTGGGACAGGTTGACACCTGCCGCCTCAGTCACCGCTCGCTCATCTGCTTCCCTCGCGTTCTCTCTGCTTCCGTAGGTCAAGCCTCTAAAGACGCCCTTTATTTTAGTTTGACGGGGTGTCAGGAAATAGATGCCAGTGCCCCACCTGTCATCTTCACTGAGGAATCACACCTGGTGCTCAGGGGACACCCCAAATCACCCTCTCCTCATTGCTGCCGCCTCGGGGCCTTCCACACAGACAGCGGTGCCCCAGCCCTTTCTCGGTGCTTTCCACTCCCAGCTTCCCAGGCACCCGCCTCCTGGGTCCTCAGAGCCTCGCTCCCACGCTGGCCTGTCCCCACCCCACACTCCAGCCCGGCCAGGCTGCTCTGGGAGCCCCGGCTTCCCCACGGCCCCCTGGGAAATGTCACCCCTTGTCCTGTCGATCATCCAGGGGAGAGTCCCATGGATAAAAGAGGCTTATGAATGAGGTTCCCACACCTGGGTCTCATTCATTCACCCCGTAAGTCATTGCTCTGCGCTTCCTCTGCATTGCGCCCTGATTGAGGTTTGGGGGGTCCTTACGAGACCTTTTCTTAGGAAATTCAGGGCTAAGAACAAACGGGAGAATCACAAACCTCGGGGCTTTACAGAGCTGATTCTTGACCCCAGTGCCAAACACTGGGGCCCAGAGAGGCTCACC